GGTTGAGCTGGGGCACCACTTTGTCCTGCTCGTGACTTGGTCCAAGACTGGCTCCCTTTATCCCCCTCAGCCTAAGGCCTTTGGGCTTGGATTGAAAAAGTAGCACCAGATTCCTGGGCCTCTGGGTTGCAAACAAGAGGTGAGAGGGTGTCCTCATAATTATGTGAGTCAAGTCATGTCATTAAAAATCATTTTCTATACATCTATATTTTTGTTTCAAATGCATGAATTTATTTATTCGAGATAGGTCTTGCTATGTAGTGCAGGCTGGCCTTGAACTCACTCAGTAGCCCAGGTTGGCCTCAAACTCATGGCGATCCTTTTGCCTCGGCCTCTCTAGGGCTGAGATTATGGGTAGTGCCACCACACTTGGTTGCATCTATACATTCCTATTAATTTTGTTGTTATACTTGAGTCCTGGTAAATTTATTATGCTGCAGAAATAAACATAAAGGTGTTGGTTATAGAATTAACTGGAAAGGCAATGTTAAGATACATTGAGAACAAGCAGAAAACTGGCAGAAGGAAGTCTACTTATTGGTAAAAACTCTAGACAAAAATCACTCCATAGTTTGAAATATTGAAGAAAGAGAAGGAATAGCAGATCAAATTTAGAATGTAAGATGAAATAAAAACCATTTTTGAATTACATGCTGTTTATGAGAAACACACTTTAAGCTAAAGACAAAATAAGCTGATAGTGAAAGCAGAGAAGAAGATATTCCAAGTAAACTGAAACTCTGAGAGGGCTAATGCAGACAAATTTATATCAAAGTAGACTTTAAATCAGAATGTGTTGCGCAAGAACCAATGGACACTCTATGCCCCCAGCTCTCTCCACTCGCAGGCTCTGCCTCTGTGGATTCAACTATCCGTGGACAGTAATATTTGACAAATCAGTGTGTGTGTACTGAGCGAGTGTAACAACTCCTCACAAAGCATTTACACTCACATTGTGCTATGTCTTGTAAGTGATCAGAATTATTTGAAGTACATGGGTGACTTTATCACCCCAGCAATTTGAGCACCAGCGGCAGTGCTACCTTTGGGCGGGTATGGGGGTGTTCTGGCATACATTTCCTGTGGGCAGGGACAATTGTACCAATAAAAAGATCAGTCATCGAAAGGCTATAACAATCATGCATACATAGTTACATCAGAACAATCCTCAGCTATACAAAGCGATGGTTGACAGAATCGAGTGTCAATAGGTGCCGCCTCTTCCCTACGTTGTGTGATACTGACTCTGCGCTTGTAGGAGACAGATGCTTGCTTGCCGATGTCTTGACTGTTTCTGCTTTGGCCTTCCCACCTCGTGAGCGGTGCCTCCTGAAGTAGCCGCCTGCTGGCCTGTCCTGCTCCTCAGGACCGAGGTCTAGAGGCGTCCGGGCTTCCTGAGCTCATTCCTTGATCCACTGAGTTAGACCTGTAAAGAGCCCTCTACGGCCCTCTTACTGAGATGCTCAGCTGCTGTGAAGAAGCTGCTCTGAAAGAAAAATAAACTTCAATTTCTGTTGTGGTTTTTTCAGGTTTTACTCTAAAAAAAACCATTTATTTCCATGATCACACCCGAGGCAGTCTTCACACAGGACAACAGCGCGTTACACACACACACACACACACACACACACACACACACACACATCTCTTATTCTGACAGCGTGTGTGCTGTGCTTTGTTTCCCTGATTTTTTGCAGAACATGCTTGACATCTCAGTATTCTTGCTGTTTTGTCAGGAGGTTCTTCTAGTATACAGTGTATAGCTAACAGAGACATAAAATATCAATAAAATAAAGTGTCAAATTCTTAATATGTCTTGAGAATTTAGAATAAATGCCATTTTCACATCAGCCTGGTACTTGCTTAGAAAACCTAAAAGATAAAGTCCTACATGAACTGCAATGAAAACACCAACGGCATTTACACTCACGTCGCGTTGTGTCTTGTGAGCACCCACAAAAGTGAGCCCCGCCTCTGCGGTCACACCCAGGGCCGTTGCTGCACAAGACAGCTGCATTTTCCATTGATTCTGTTTCCCCCAAAAGTATCAGTCCCATAAAAATGTGATTCATGTCATTGATTATGATAAATGATCCTTTTATCAACTTGAACATTTCTCAACTCATTCTGTCATGGAATGGAATAAATGAGTTCACATTTACTTACATTCCTGTAATTACCGTGTTTCTTTTGTCCATTTATTTATTTTTCACGTCATGAATATCAAAGCATTATTATTTGATACCCAGATTGCCTGTGAGTATTTCCCTTTTCTTAGCATTCATGACCTCTGAGGAGTGTTGTGTGCAGCTATTCCATTTAAGGATGTTTGTATAAGAAAACATGTCAAGACAGGAAACCAGGGAGCAGCTTCCTCCCCGGCGTGGGGCTAGGATAGGAAATGAAGACTTGCCCTCCCCCAACTGGGGAAGATTTGCTCATATTTCGGAATGAAAACAAGGTGTCTTTTAACAGACTGCAGGCTGGGCAGGTAGCTAGCAAATTTGTATAAAAGCAGAGTTTCCTAATTTTGCAGTTTCTCTGCTGAGGTATGTTCTGCCTGGTTTGCAGACTGAGGCCATTTGGTTTTGACTGGGACTGTTTCGGTTATGATTGGCTCCCTGCCCCACTGTCCAGACCATGGGTCTGAAGCTTCTAGAAATGCTGGGAAGGGCAGTGAGCTCTGCCCTATTGGTCTCCTCCTCACTCTTCCCCAGAGCTTGGCTGGGAGAGGACAGGAGAGGAGAGGAAAGGAGAGGAGAGGAGAGGAGAGGAGAGGAGAGGAGAGGAGAGGAGAGGGGAGTGGGAACAGGAAGCCTCTGCCTTTTTGTTTGCCTGGTGAGTGGGTGAATGTTTGATACTTCTTTCAAATTCCATTTTATTTTCCTTCCAAATTTGGAAGCCCACGTTTGACTACTTCTCTCTGCTTGTTTCTTTGGAGATGAGAGATGGAGAGCATCGATTTTGGGTAAATTGTTCAGCTCTGTAGAATCCAACACTGGATTTTGTTTTCCTGAAAAGTACTGTATCTTTCAGGGGCTATAGCTGGGGACCATACTTACTAGTGATGTTTTAATCAGTTATATTGTCCACCAATAAAACAATACGCCCTACAACTTCCTCCTGTGTTAATTCCCTAATTTCTTAGGAAAACTGTTGGGAAAAGTGTGATGACTGCCTCTAATGTCCCAATATCTTTGAGGCTTTATTGTCCTTTCTTTTCTCCTCTGCTTTTCTAAATATACCATCCAAAGAAATCATCTCCCAATTTTACTTTATAATGGCAAATAGATTAGCTGTGGGGAAATATGAAGAATAATAATAATACCCTTCAGGTGAAAAGAATGACCCTCGCCAGTGAGTCTTTATAATCTATTTAAATTGTCTAAGAAGATAGCATTGATTATGTGCTTCCCTTGGATTCATGTTGTCTTTTGTGATGGCAGATAGTTCAAAAAAGGTCTGAAAATACGAAGAACAGAACCAAAGACATCACTTCAGACGCCTTTAGCTGCACAGGAAATAGAACTTAATTGGTGCATGCATTTGAGATGTTTCTCTGCATCTTTCAAATGGGATTGTTACTATTAAGCAGCATCATGTTCCTCACCAGCATTCGCCACATCTTTTGAGGTTGATAAATGAGAGATCATCATTTGTTTGTTTGCTGGATGAAGTTTGGTGCATTGGAAGCCAAAGCTCAGATGATAAGTTCTTTTTTTAAATGTATTTCATACAGGGTCTACAGGGTCTCACAGATTGGACTGGTAGTGATCATCCCGTTTTCAGCCTCCCAAGCACTGGGATTACAGGCGTGCGCCACCATGCTGGGCACGCTGTCTACGTGTGCCCGAGGGCGGGGCTGGCACTGCATGCTGGGGCTCGAGACTGGTCTGAGCCTGCTTAAGCTGGCGCTTTAGTGCGCTGAGCTACCTGGCCGGCCCTATAAGCACCTCTTTCCTGCCCTTTTCAGAGCTTGTATGACGTCTTGGTTCCTCAGGCTGTAGATGAGGGGGTTTAACATGGGAATAACTATGCCATAAAATACCGATGCTACCTTTTCCTGCTCTTGAGACTCAGGGGTACGGTGGTGCAGATACATGTAAGAGAGGGTCCCATAGAAGATGGTGACCGCCATCATGTGGGAGGCGCACGTGGAGAAGGCTTTCCTCCTTCCCGCGGCAGAAGACATCCTGAGGAGGGCGGCCAGGATGCATACATAGGAGAAGAGGACGACCGACACGGTGCTCGTCAAGTTGAACCCCACAAAGACAGTCAGGACCCTGACATTGAAGTCCACACTGGAGCACGAGAGGGCGAGAATCGGAGGCACGTCACAGAAAAAGTGGTTGATGGCATGAGACTTGCAAAGGCTCAGGGAGAAAGTCAGACCCGTGTTGACAGAAGCGTTGAGGAAGCCCATGAGGTAGGAGCCGAGCAGCAGCTGGATGCAGGCTCTCTGGGACATGGTGACAGCGTAGTGCAGGGGTTTGCAGATGGCCACGTAGCGGTCCACGGCCATAGAGGCCAGGATGAAGCAGTCGCTGGTTGCAAACATCCCGTAGACGAGCATCTGCACTATGCAGCCTGAGAAGGAGATGGACTGTTTTGTCCCTATGAGGTTTTTCAGCATCTTGGGGGTGATGGCAGAGGTGTAGCACACATCAACGAAGGCCAGGTGCTGGAGGAAGAAGTACATGGGAGTGCGCAGGGCGGGGTCCGTCTTGATGAGCAGCACCAGCCCCGTGTTGCCCACCAGCGTGGCCACGTAGATGACCAGGAAGGCCGCAAAGAGGACGTGCCAGGTCCTGTGCTGCCCAGCAAAGCCCAGGAGGACGAATCCGGTCACGTCGCTGCCGTTGTTTTGTTCCATGGTCAGCATGGATTAAACATTAGCTGAAAAGCCACAGAGAAAGAAGAATAGAGCAAGCTACCAGTGCTCCTGAGAAAATGAAATAAGATTGACCCCGCTCGCACCCGGTAGATGGGAGCAGTAGACCAGGGAGCTGCAACAAACCGTGCACCATGCTCTGGAACTCCGTGCATCTATGCACACGACAACACGAGGCTGGTTCCTACTGTACCTTTTCAAAAATCAACTTCAAGTGGAATGAAGGCTTGGATTTTAAATCTTTGAATGTGAAATATGCCAGAATATGTATGGCTTCAACGTGGAGATGACATGTAAGGAAACAGAAAAGCACAAATCATAAAACATTGAAAGTTTAAGTATATTAAAATAAAAATACTGGGTATCTAAAAGAGAAGAGACTGGGAGTTTGGTCGGGTTATTTGTAACACATTTAAATATCAAAGCATTAGTATATTGTCTATATGAATGATTTCTATACATCAGCTCAAAGGAAAAATTCAGAAGAGATGTAACTCAGACAATTACAGAAAAGGAAACTTTAATGATCAGTTGAAACATGAAAAGACCCACAACTCACCAGTAATCAGGTAACTGTATGAATACTTCGCTGAAATATAATTTTATGCTAATCAATTTACTTTTTCAAAAAGAATACAAATAGCAAAACAAATTAGAGGGAATACAGAATTTTGCTGAACAAGATGGTAGGGATTCCACAGTGGTTGTTACATTGCACATTGTTGTCTGCAAACTAGCTGTTCAGATTATCAGATCTCAGTTTATTTATTTTTTATTTTTTGGCGGAACTGGGGATTGAACTCAGGCCCTTGCGCTTGCCAGGCAAGCACTTATTCTACTGAGCTATCTCCCCAGCCCCTTTATTTTCTAAAATTTCACTTTAAAGGGAAAGATATAAATAACAACAGAGTTTCAAAACAGCCTAGTAGGAGAGTTCTGTAGGTAGTGTCTCTTAGTTAATTAAAACAGAAAGGTTTGTGCTAATATTGTGAACTTATCAATTTGAAATACCACATTGGCATGAAATTCGGGACCCACAAAGGTATCCTATGTTCCTAACTGGGACAGTAATTATCTCAGGGGTACACATGTTTGAAATTATTACTAATGTTAAATGCCTCCCTTTGATCCAGGCTCTTCAATCAGGTATATATTCCCAAGAAATTGATCACCACATATACAAGGACATTGAGAAGCATAGACATGTATAAGTACATCTATGTATGCATATACAAATGTTTGTAGAAGCATAGACATAAAAACTAATAAATCAATCAATAAACAAATGCTAGAACATCTGTGCAGATAACTTTTTCAAATGAATATTGAAAAGCAAGCTGCAGAAGTTACATGGTTGTTACATTACTGTGCATGTTGAATATTGCTTAACAATGGATATTTGTCATAGAGGGAAAAATCCTATCTCTGGTAGTCAGTTCTGACTCCTTTACTTAGATGTTAGCAACACCAGGCAGCGCTGTGGTGTTTTGCAAGTGAGATGGTCACGTTAGGTAAGAATGTGCCTTCAGTGGCAGGAACAGGGTGAGCTAAGCCTGCTCTTGGCATGGGCTTCTGTGAAGGCTTCCAGGAGCTTGACAATAAGCCTGGAACAGTGCGCTTCGATTCTACAAGGAATCATGGCAGTCACAGGTCAGTAAGGTTGTGTAAACTGCTTTCTATGATAAATTTGGGGCAAAATAGATAAGTTGCAGGTTTCTTAGGTTTTTCTTGAGGGCAAAGACACACTTTTCAGGGAAAGAGACACTAATGCAGGGTCCACTTGACCTGTCCTTCTGATAGGATTGAAGAGGCACGTAAAACTAGTCGTAATAACATCATCTCTTGACTATCTACTATCTGTATGTCTGCCTGCCTATCTACTCGCTATCATCTATCTATCTATCTATCTATCTATCTATCTATCTATCTATCATCTATCTATCATCTATCTTGTATCTATCAGAATTTCTCCTATAAGAGGACCAGGAGACATCTAGGGTGGTGTATCTGACTTATCTCATTTAACATTATGGTCCCAGGTTGCCTCCATTTACTTACCAATGCCTCAATTTTATCTTTGTGGCAGGGGAAAGAAGAGATGCAGGGAGAGGAAGGGATGGAGGCGGTGGAATGGAAACAATAACCGGAGGGAAGAAATGATGGGAATAGAGCATCTCTGGCAAGTGGGGGTGGGAACAAGAGTGGGAAGGATCAGGACAGAGAAGACGATGGAAAGAGTGAAGCTGTGCTGCATCCTCGTACCAACAACTCCCCGCGGTAAATGTAATTATGCATTACAAGCACGAGCTAATCCAACATAAAAATGTATATACTACAGTGGAAAAATCAGCCATAATAACCACGGAAATGAAGCATTGCGAGAGCCTTCCACTCTTTCGCGTCATCATTTGCTCTCTCACACACTTCCCACAAGCCGCTCTCAGCGCAATTTCCTGTCTCCATTTCAGTTGGATCTCTGGAGATGAGCTGATTCTCTCCGGTCTTGGGTAAAACACTTCCAAGCGAGGCGCTGGCCAGTGTCATGACTGTACCTGCCCAGCTGCAGTGGCACCCAGCTGCTGGCGGACAGCCTCATCAGCTCTGTTCTTACATGGAAGTTGCTTCCAGATCGTCTTTCTGGGACTGATGCCGGCTGCGCACCCTCCCAAGTGTCTCTGTGTCCTGTTATTCCCTTCAGGAGTGCACAACCGGGGCCTGAGGGACGTGTGTTCACTCCCTGGAGATCTGAGATCGCAGAGACTGAGGGAATTGGGATCAGCCGTGCTCACTGGTTATTTTATACTAACAAAGTGTAAGCTTTGTAGGGGAGAGGTTGTTTTTGTTGTCATTAAGAATGCTTGCTTTTATGTTTTAGCGTTGTCTTGTTAGAGAACAGCTGTCTTTCTTGTTGTAAATGAGGCAGTCTGTTTTCGTACCTAGGAATCTGTGTATAGGTCCAGCAATTAGCCTGTTGGCAGAGTCAGCGATAAACAGGGCTGGGAGGGGGATCCTCAAACTACTAGAAAATTAAGAGTATGTGCCCCTTAGTGTGGCATTAGACACACTGTGTTTGAGCCCATTTTATATTATATCAATTATCATTTATTTAATGAAAAATTGGCTTTTGAGTTCTTCTGTTTCTATCAGAAAAGTTTCTATCTTATAAATGAGCCTATTAGAAAGATGACCTTTATGCAGTTACGCTTTGAGAATACTGCAGGTAAAATTTGTGACATTGCAGATGTTCAACTGTGTTTGCTGAAAAGCTGCTAGAGCTCAACTTCTAATGGAGCCAATATCAATGGACAAAACTATATTCTGTGTGTTTTTCCTTTTAATTATCTAGCAAAGGTGGAAGGAGAGCTGCTGTGGAAGGGGGCTTGCTCGATGTTCATTATTACTTATTTCATGACCACTGTCTCAGGAATGCATTCAACTGCTAGCAAAGGTGTGTTTCCTATTGCAGTCTGGGTTTGCAAGAAAATAGATTTAATATGGGACACATAATTTATTGTATTATAATATTCACCCAAAAAGTCAAATGCAGAAGAGTGCGAGAGATCCGTCCACGCATGAGAGACCCAAAGACTCCAGCTGAGGGCCTGGATCCCAGGGCAGTGTCCTGCAGGAGTCCAGCTGAAGGCCTGGAGCCCACCACAATGTCTCATGCAAGTCTATACCAAGGATCTGCGCTGGCAAGGCCCCAAGGTCGGTGGTGGAAGCTAGAAAGTCTGTGCCAGCAGGATGAAGGTGTGCCAGCAGGCTGGGGCTCTGCACTGGAGCCAGGAAGCAATGCCCAAGGCAAGGACCAGAGCGCCCCTGGAAAGCACCGCAGCCATCCTCAGCAACAGCGAGGTCCTGAGCTGCACTGGGGATGAGCGCAGCTGAGTTCCCATCAGGAAAACCAGTGTGAGGAGCTCCTCTGGGACAGTCACAGCACCGTCGTGCCCTCCAGTTCTCTTTTTGTGCCGTTGGCAACAACCCCCGGGTGGGCCCTGCACACCCAGCACCGCACTGATGTTACAGCTGGTGTTACAAGTTGGCCCTTAGTAACCCTCCACATTTACATTGGCTTAAATATAGGGATTTATTTTCTCTTCGTAGCAGTAACTTAGGAGGTCAGAACTTTTGCAGTTGGCTTGGTCTTTGTCACTTGCTGGTTGTCTCAGGTCCAATGTTCTCACTAGCACGCCATGCTTCGGGTCTCTTCAGGCCTCTCCTACAGTACTATTTCCTGCTTCCTTTCTCTCAGCCCGCTGAGATCTTTTCAAGGACTTCAATGAGTTGCACAGTCCGTGGGAACAGTTCTCGCTGTAATTCCACATTTAGGCTGGAAATCCACATGAATGATGCCAGGAATTCAGGTGTTACATACTGAAATTTTGTATTCTCTCAAAAATATATATGGTGAATACTAATCTTTAAGGTGAAGTTTTAGGATGCGGAAACTTTGTAAGGTAGTGAAGTCCCGAGGGTGGGATTCTTAAAGGGACTTTTCCTCACAAAAAGGAATACATAGAACTTTCCTTCTCCTTCCTTCCTCCCTCCCTTCCCTCCATGTTTCCTTCTTTTCTTCTCTCCCTTTCTTCTTCCTCTCCTCCTTCTCATCTTCCTCTTTTGTCTGTCAGAAACAAAGAGAAATTCCCCTGGAGGGGTAGTTTTTAGATATGAAGTACACTGGTGAGGGTTCTCTAGGGGAATGGAATCAGGAAAAGTAATTATCTAGCTGTCTGTCTGTCTATCTATCTATCTATCTATCTATCTATCTATCTATCTATCTGTCTATGTATCTATCTATGCCAAAGGATTTATTAGGTAGCTTATAGGACCAGACACAGGGGAGTCCACAGTGGTCTGTGTTGAAAGGAATTTGGAGTCTGATGCCCACAGACGATGCCAGCAGAAGATGCGCCTATTCAGCGTCCTGGAGCTCTTCAGAGGTGCGTGGCCAACTGCCTTTCTTCCCCTTTTGTCCTTCCAGGAAATAAGCCTATTGGTTGGTGCTACCCATGGCGACGTTG